TTGATTAACTTTATTCGTTAATAACTCTGTAAATAATGGTTTGAACCAAAATTGAAAGAGGAACTTTTAGTTCAAAATTTCATTCTCTTTCATGCCTTAAAATATTAATTAAGCGTTACGGGACACCCTGTATGTATGTTCATCTTAGAACATATATTACATAAACATTAACATATATTTTAATATATGTTTTAAGATGTACATACAGTCTATGCGAAATGTTTTTATTGAATTATGCTTATTTGTATCTTAGAACATATATTACATATATTATTAATATATGTTCTAAGATTTGTATTGAATTATTAGTCATATGAAGAGACTAACTTTTCACTGAGACTTGCGCGATAAACCACCTTAAAATAAATTTCGTGTTAAATATAATTAAAAAAATATTTGTGTCTTATTATAGTCTACTGCATCAAAGATGTAACTTATATATGTAAATCATCAAAAATCTGCCAAAATTTTTCAATTATTAGCCCGTTCTATAATACGTCATATATTATCGCAAGTCATAAGAATTGACTAATCATAGTCGAATATGAGGATAATACTTGATTGATCAATTACGACTTACAACATATACAACGTATTGTAGAACAGGCTTTAGCGATCTGAAAGCCCTTTAAATTTGACTAATGTAGTTATATTAAAAAATATTTGATTTTATAGATTCCCAATGCCATACATAAGTTGCAACTTTGACACAACAGATCCTCTATTAATCACAATTATTTTTAATCTCAACAAATTCCTTTTAAAGATTGAAAGTTCTAATCGTATTTAATTTTTTGATTAATAGAATTTCTCTAACACACTGCATCATAGATACATTAAAATGTACTAAAATAGTTCTTTTTGGAATTTTAATATCAAATTTCGCAAAATTGACGTAAGTAATTTGATAAACAGAATCGTATTCAACGCTCGAGAAACTAGAAACCGATTATCCTCGTTTTTGTGCTTGAATAAAAAATCATTTTTTGAATAGTGTGGCAAAACTTTATTTGAATTAAGGAATACGAAAACGACGAGGTATAGAAAAGATGTTTATTATGAAATTCAAAAATTGTTCCGGTCACTTGAATTGTCCTATTACATGAGCGCGTTGATATTTATGTTATTCAAGACTTTTAGTTCTGGCACATTCAGGTGTTGGATATACATGCGGAAGCAATGATGAGTAGAGAAATTTAGCAAGAAATCGCGCAGATATTGACCAAGGTTCAAATGGTAGATGGAATCTCGCAATAATTCTGGATCCTCTTCGTCATCATTATCTTCATCTCCAAATTCTATGAAGAAATTGCATTCTCATTAATTCTTAAATATTAAGACGACAGATCGTTTGTATGAAACTTACGTAAAACATTTGCGCTTTCGTTTCCGGGATCTATCAATTCATCATCATCTTCTTCCTCATCCTCGTCGTCGGAAACCTGTTGATATGAGAAAGTTTTTTAATCAAATAAAATTCAATTGTTATTTCGGTGAAATAAAATAAAAAATTATGATAGAAAGGCAAGAACGCAAAAGCGATACTTACTTCCGTATCTTGGCTGGCGCTAACGGCTTCGATATCGTTCAACAATTCGTTAATTATTACTTTAAAAATCTTTACAAGTACAGGCACCGTAGTCCATTCGTAAGGCTGCGATTCGGCTTTGCTTCTGGTCCTCACACCGTCTTCGATTCCTGCATATTCCCGAATAATAACTTGCTATTTTGAGAAACACACAATGTTTTTCGTAGAACAAAGTAACTTATGCCTTGTAACAGTAATCTTACGCAACAAATCATCGCAGTGACAGTATCAGTGTGTAATGTCTTTTGAGTAAAATTTATTTATATATATAACGTTCGACTAATAATAACAAATTTCTTTATTCAATTATATACATTGCTGGCCAAAAGTTTGAAAGTTTTAAATATGTAAAATAAATTTAAAAATATTCAAAGCAAATTTCAAAAATATAGATCACATTGTCGTAAAGCATTTTTTTTCAAAACTGAACTGTGGATTATTTTAGAAAGTGGAAATCTTCTGTTACAAAAAAATAACTTGTAGCTAGATTACCTAGACTAGTAAATAAGTGAAATGTAAGGATGTGTGTAACTATTTTGACGAAAAAAGAATTTAATTCTTTAATTCTTTGCTTTTCTCATAAAAAAAAATTTGTAGAAAATATTTTTCGTAGACCTGTCAAACATTTGATATTATTTTTTATTTCATTATTGATACAATGAAATAATATAAATGTATTAACAATATCAATTTGAAGATCGCGTAGGTAAATAAATTTTGAGGATCGCCTTCTACGGTCACGGCTGGATCTTGGTGCCTAATAAATTTGAGATAAATTTTTAAATCCATTATACAGCCATTTAAACTACGTGTCGAATCAATGTCGAACTTGCAACACATTAGCTGAAGTTGAAATAGTGAGATCACGATGATTGATCATTCTTTAATAATTCGATGCAATTAGACATCTTAAAATACTGCGAAGAACTTATTACAAAAAATATTACCTCAACCAAGGTATGAACTTCCCGACGGGGCGGGCATCTTAATCAATTCGATCACCGAGGCATGTGACAATATTTATCGCAATAACCGGCATATTTATATATATTAAATTATAATAATCAATCAATTTGATTCATATAACATTATACTCAAAAAATATTACATTGATACTCTTACGATCTACGATTTGTTGCATAAGATTACCGTTACATAGCAAAAGTTACTTCATGTAATAGATATTTTCAATTAATGGTCTCAAATAACTTGCTATTAAGTATGCTATTAATTATAATGATTTGGCCGACAGTGTATAACTTCATACTCGCAAGCAAAAAAATTTATTTCTTCGTATCCTTGCTAATTACAACCGCAATATTTTTATGTAATCAATAAGTCTAAGACCACAAACCTGAGATGATCATATCTCCCTTGACCGTAATTTCGTCCAATCTACTATCCCCGTGAGTGACTCCGTATTCCAGGATCTTACATAACGCGATTGTTGCGACTTTGCGGTCGTATCTACCAAGGAACAGATGCTGCCTGCTAACCCACTCGGACAACACAAATGCAAGTGCGCTCTGTCCCGTTGGCCCAGGCACGGTCGAGAGAAAATTCAGCACAGCGTCGAACTGCATGTTTATAAGATGCGCGTAAATCATTAGCAAGCTCTGCATAACGATCAACGCCTCCGCGCTCTGCATCTTACTCAGCACCGCTTTCAGCAGCAGATCGAGATTCTCACCCAGACTGTCCCCCACGTTTTTGATCAGCGTCGTGACCAAACGCCCGACAAAAGTGGCAGTGAATTCACTCGACTGCAATTATTCCACACATTAAACATACGTATAATACCAATTTCCAGTGAGGGTGCTTAATTTCCCGATTAATTAAGCCGGCAGCAGCGTTACCTGCGGGTTCAGGAGCTGAGCAATTATCTGCAGTATGTATTGTAATCCGGTTTGCCCTTCGTTTTCTCGATGTGCGATAACCTGCTGCGCTGCCACGGATAGATATGTGCGTACGAGTTCCCCGCCGCTCTGCAGCGTCGCGTGGTCTTCCGAGTTGAGAATACAATGGCAGGCGGTCGGAAAGGCAGTCTCCACCAAAGCGTTACTCAGAGGCGTCGGCGAATACTGCACTAGAACTTTCAGCACATCCAATGCCACCGCTCGAGATCCCTCTGATGAAAAGAACAAGACACTGATAATAAACGGTCCGGTTAAACAATTAAATTTCAAACGGAGAAAAGAACAAGAAAAAAGAACATACCATCCTTCGATTTATTCATCGGAGTTATCGCCATCATGCTCGTTAGAGTCGGTATTATACGAGTTTGCAGCGGCCCGATACAGCTCGGATTCTGCGTCAAGTCCTTGAATATGTCCAGGCATATATTTAAAATCGCCGGATCGCTATGAAACTTTACAAACACTGCAATTGTCAAAGGACAAATCTTGTTTTCCACTGATGCTGTAAATTCTTTATGTTGCTATAAACACAAATAAGATCCAAGTAACTTAAATAACGGAAAACATATGGCGCGCAAGAAAGATGTATGTGCGATTAGAGGTATTACCCAGATTAGCGTTTGAAACGACTCCATGACCAAAATCAAAACATCCGTGCTAGGTTGACTAACTAGATTAAACAATCCTTGAAAAATATTGGGCATATGGCAACGTATTATGTTGACAATGGGATCCTTCCCAGTAGACGCCTCACTGAACCAATAGATCGCCTTAACAGCACTGATACGTATACAAGGCGGTTGATTTTCCTGTAAGCCGGTAACTGTTGCTTCCAAAAATCGGGAACTCACCTCCGGTGGCATTATCTTGGCATATCGTCCACCAAGGCATAAGCAACGGCCGAGAAGTAACGGGGGCGATCCTGAGATAATATATACAATAATTTACCAGACTTCGACATATCTATAAAATATGAGGTGACGTGTTGCTCCGTGTGAGAGCGATTGACTTGTGATTAAAGGATTTCAAATTCGAATCCGATTGTCACCTCTTATGCCTTGATTTTGTGAGGATTGGAAATTAAATGTTGAGTAAAGGTAACATATATAAAGGAGATAACAAATAACTCATTTCGCGGGAATTCATGAGTACTACAAAATAAAAACGATATAAAAATTATATATGTACAGGGTGGACCATTTTAATCCATCCAGTCGAATATCTCAAAAATCAAGCCCGGGAGAGAAAAATTTTTCAGACAAATTGTTTGGTTTCGAAGGGGACATAAGATGATAATATTGATTTGACCCTGAGTGGCAAGGTCGGGACAAGGTCACTTTAAATTTTTTAAATGGAACCCCCTATTTTTCGTTACATATTCTTGTAGCTTATTTCGAGAGCTTTCCAAAACATATAGGTAAAATGTATTTTCGGTAAGTAAATCTTG